GCCCTCTTCTTCCTCGTGGAACAAGGAATACAGGGGCTTCCAAAGGAGTGTGTTTGCTCTTCTGCAAGAAAGTGGAAGTGCAAACGTGTTCCTTAGACATAGCAGAGCTTTTTTTTGGGATACCTTTGGTATCCCAAGAAAACCCTCCAGTCTAGCCATACTCAGGGCAAAAACCATAACATAGGCATAAAATGGTCTTTATAGATAGTGGTATGGATGGAGTTGGAAAGTGACGAGTCATCTTGTTGATAGTTAAGGAAGCATCAGAGGTAGTACTCATTGATTTGATGTATCTGTCTGCCTGTTGGTCTGCAGGCGGACATCTGAGGAGGTGAAAAGTTCAGTTCCTTTGAGTTTACAGAGTTCACACCAAAACTGGGAGGCAAACTGTGGGCCCCAATAAGACACTATTGTGGTTGGCAATGCATGATGCTCAAAAACATGGTTTTGGAAAAGGTGGGCAGAGAGTGAAAAGAAATTAAACATGTCATCTTAGTGAACAGATTGACTGCTGCCATAATGCTAGTGCAATTTTAAGAGCAAGTTACTTCGACAATGAAGTCCAATGAGATCTCACACTAGGATTGAGGTGGGGTAGGCACAGGATGGAGTAGACCAGGGGTGGACAAAATATGACTCGTGGACAAGATTCGGTCCACCAAGCCACAGGATCCAGCCTGCAGCCCATTGGGAGCCTCAGCCAGGCCCCCTGCCTGCCCTGTCCCCACAGGCTGCTCAGAGCAGCCATATGCAGGGGCCATGTGCTTCTGTGAGTGCTGCGAACCTGGATGGAACAGGAGAAGAGGTTTCGCATGCTGCCTGCACTCCTCCCATTGGCCAGTTTCTATTTCCAGGACAGGCAGCACACTAAGTACCCCTTCCCTGGGGCTTGCAGTATTCAGAGAAGCATGTAGACCCCACAACTGTATGAATTTGGGCAATAGCTGATCTGGTTTTCCTGTTATCCTGCCCCACAGACAAAAGTTGGGGTGGATGGAGGAAATCATGAGTTCAAAGTATTTTAAGCAGTAGAGCCAGGAGTTCCCTGTTCACAGAACAAGTACAGGCTAGTAGCAGGGCAAACTTCCATCAGACTGTAAGTTAGGGATGCCAACACTGTATTTCAGAATTAAGGGATTGTTTTCTTAGAACCCCTGTTCCACCCTGTTTCCTGATATTAGTAATGATTATTATTGCTAATAATAATATTAATAATTATTAAGCAGTGCTCCACTCATTTGACAGCAGTATTTCTTGCTGATTTTGTACAGAAATGAAACAAATAAGGGAAGTCCCTTGTAATAAGGGACTGTTGGAAACCCTAGGTAAGCTCTTTAGGGTACTGATAGTCAATTGTTATGCGTGTGTACCTTGCACAATGAGACCCAACCTGAGTGTGGACTTTAGAGGTTATTTCAGTATAAGTGTTGTAAACAGTAGTAACAGCACTGCCCAGCTTCCAGTGTACCAATGTCCCATAGCACCATCAGTCCCTTTGTGCTTGGAAGTCTGTTCCCAAAGGCCCTGGCTTCTGTGGTCTTAGAAGACTGTCAAGGTCTGTCTGTACAGCAATTAAACACCCACAGCTGGCCCATGTCACTCCTGGGGCTCTTGGGGCTCCTTCTGTGGGGAATTAAACACCCACAGCTGGCCCATGTCACTCTTGGGGCTCCTTCTGTGGGGCTGTAAAACCATGGTGCAGACATTTGGACTTGGGCTGGAGCCTGGTCTCTTGGACCCTCACCCATCACGAGGGCCCAGAGTTCAGACTCCAACCTGAGTCCAAACAACTACATGCAATTTTACAGCCCCGCAGCCTGAGCCCCACGAGGTCAAGTCAGCTCATTCGGGCCAGCTACTGGTGTTTAATAGCCATATAAACATATCCTAACATTAAGACCTAGAACCATTTACTAGTCTGGGTGTCTAAAGGAGGTTCACATTCTCCTCAACCAGCATTCTCAGTTGCAGCGGGCCAAGCAAGCAAGAGGTATATTCAACATCACAGAGATGAATGAGGATGCTCTTTAAATTACCTGTAAAACACTTTGATTCAAACTGCTGAGGTTGGCATGGACAGTTTGCTAAGCTTATTGATCATCTTCTGTTTAAATTAAAGCTCGATGTCCTGGAACAGGCTATTCAGCACAGAGAGCTAATGGGATGGGATAAGATACAGGCAGCAAGAAAGAAATATACACATAGGGGAAATGGATGATGTTCAAACAAACAAAAAATAAAGAGGATTATGTGCTCAATAGGTTCTGTGGATTCATTGATAATGAATACAATGCCAATAAAGAGTTCAGCATATCCTGCAATGAAGGAGGCTTTTGCCTTGTGATTAAAGGCAAAACAGGCAGTTTATTAGACATTTAAAACATCAGCGCAAGGAGAAGAAAAGGAAGATTGAGAGAATGACTGTAAACGTGCATACAAGCTAGGAAATTTCAGTCAGAATTTCAAGGCAGTTTTTGGGGAGGTGGCTTATATGTGATTCTGTTAATATATAAATACATACAATAAAAGAAAGGCTGGTAGATGACAATATTTTGTGCCTTCGGGATAGACCCTCTTTCTCAACCCCTGTTTATCACACTCATCAGCATGTTATGAGGAAGAAGGGAAAGAACCATTAAAATGGAAAAAAAATAATTGGGTTAGGGAGAAGAAAACAGAGATTGTCAGAAGAAGGAAACAGTCCAGGCAGTGAAGAAAAATGCAGCAGGATGCAACATGGCAGGGACAGAGAAAGAAAGAAAGAAAGAAAGAAAGAATTCATGACTGGCAAATGAAGGCAGTTTTAATTTAAAAACTGCCTGCAAATGTTGATTAAACAAAATTGTTAGTGGAAAATCCAGGCAAAGTAGAACACACACACATTGAAAATGTTCTCATAGATTTAGGATTAGGGGGATCTGGGAACAAACAGAAAATATCATATGCAAAAATATAATACCAAGCAAGAGATGGTATAGAATAGATGGTATGATGAGTGGCACACAACAGTCTTGGGCAGATGTGATGATTGTCACTAGCTTTATGTGACTTGTTCTTAGCATAGGAATGTAATCACTATTCAGAAAGTAGGGAGACGCTCAAACCAAAAGTCTAGATCGCTGCATGCCAAATTTGAGAAAAGTTCAGCTATGAAGATCAATGTTGTGGCTTGGGTCATAGCCAGAAATAACACTCAAAGCCAAAAGTTTAAAAAGTGTCCATTGACTTTGACATCTTGTTTTCTGGTTGCCTACTTGAGACACCTAAGGGCTGATTTTCAGAGGTACCATACATGCTGAACTCTATCTTCAAGTAAGTGGGAACTGCAGGATCTCAGCACCTCTGAAATAAAGACCCCAAGTGTCTAAAATTGGACACTGCAAAATTGGGACACTTAAAATTGGGGGCTGCTTTTGAAAATTGGACTACACATTTCCAGACCTGAGCAATGCAATAAGCTGCTTTTTAGGAAAGGAAATTAAAAACAAAGTGAAGAAGAAAGCAAAACAGCTTCCGCTACACATAAACCAGTATCCACAATTACAAACTCCTATGACATTAATTCAACAGCAGTGTTGACTTTTCTTTCCTGCACCAGTACTAAAGATGCAAGAATCCATAAGGAAGTAGAAGGAGATGAAAGGAATCAAAATAAGGTTTTTAAAATGTATACAAATAAAAAGGTTCATCCTGGTGATTTAGAAAATGTCTTGCCTCTTGCCCTTCTGCCAGATTTACAGTCTTTCCTCCAAACGTAAATCCAGAAGTAACACATAAATCCTTGCATATTTTTTCTATTCCATCTCCCTAATCACAGCTCTAGGAAATGCAATAACATTTATAAGTCTAATACTGATGGCCACATGAAGCTAGAATAGAATGAAAAGTTGTCTGCTCTAATTAACATACCTCCTGAAATGGGCAGAAAGGGCTCGATTCTCTTTTGCCTCTCTATGCTGCTTCAGTACCAGGCTGTGGAGAGCTGGAGGACACTTCTCTTGGCCTGTATTACCAGCACATGGAGCCTAACCCAGCTGGCACTGAGCCAGGAGAAGCTGACTTGAGCTCATGGGGCTCAGGGAGCTATAGAATTGTGATACAGATGTTTGGGCTCTGGTTGGACATGAGCTCTGGGCTCCCATGATTGATGAAGGTAGGGACAGGAAGGGATTAATTCCACTGGTAGGGTGGAGGAGGCCACATCCCCTGTAGCTTACTGGGCTTGCTCCAGCTGCTCTGGGATAAAAGAGGGCTACACAGGACAATTGGGGCAGACCACCAGAAGGAGCTCGGTTAGGAGCATCTGATCAGCCATCGCCGCAGCAGCCCCAGGAGCCACAGACTCTGCAGCAGCCACAGCTGCAGCCACCCCAGGAGCAGCAGACGCAGCCTCCACGACAACCCCAACCCGGGAGGATCGCTCCGAGGCCCCAACCCGCCGAGCCTGGCCCCAAGAGCGGAGCCACGCTCAGGGGCGGCAGGAAGGAGCCCAGGGCGGGGGATTGGCCTCCGGGAGCTCAGCGCCCTTTGGATGGAATCCCGGCTGAGCAGGCAGCAGGGCCCTGGGCTGGGACCTGGTGGAGTGGGAGGGCCCAGGTCTCCCTACCGCCCCCTCCCCATGGCAACCCAGCTCCCAGGCTCCTCGGGAGGCCTACCAGTGAGCCAGGCCTGCAAGGGCGTCCGTACCCTGAGGAGGTGACTAGGCCAGAGAGGCCGTATATACCCTAATAGGGGTGGACCAGATTTGTGACTGGATCTGAGAAGCCGCATATACCGGGGTGGACTAGGTTGGTGTGAGGCCATATTGACCCTGCTAGAAGGGAAACCAGATTTGGGACTACAGCCCGTGAGGCTAAACTAACCCTGACACTAGGGGCCGCACTTGGCGAGGGACAACAAGGGGTGTTCCAGGTACTACAACACCCCGTGCCAGGGTCCCAGAAACCCAAATATCTACCCTGAAATTTTACAGCACAGTACCTGGAGCCCCAGGTGTACAAGTCAGATGACACGAGCCAGCTGTGTAGACATACACTTAATGTCTTATGAAGCCACAAAAGGGGTTGAAACCCCTTCTCTCCCTCCCCCAGTTAGACGTTAAAATCAAAGTCTGTCAGGGAAATAGATAAATTAAAATATTCAGATGGTGCTGTGGGACAGTGGGGCACCAAAAGGTGGACAGTGTTAATACGGCACATAGCATTTATGTTGAAGTAACCTCTAAAGTCCACAACCATGTAAGGTGTGGGCCAGAGGCGGGAAGGGACACCCTTGGAAGGGGGAAGTGGCTGGAGCACAATGCATTCTGGCTATTCTCTGCTTCTCATGGCCCATAGGGTCATTAGAGTTAGGCTGCTCTAACTTACAGCAAAGCATGTGCCAGCCCCTGACTACTCCAGAGTATGGGAAGGGCAAAGATGGCTTAAAGGCTTCCCCCATTCTATTTCTTTACTGAGTAAGAAAGTAACTCTGAATCAGGGCCAATATGTCTGTTACATGCACATATGGCTCTCTGTGTCTGTGTGCTCGCTCCAGAGTGGATCACACATCTGACCTAATAACGCCAATGCTTACAACAATCCAGTGGGTCTGATTCTCCTCTTTATTCATTGGAGGAAATCAGAAGTGATTAAATCAGTGGAGTTCTCTCCAGAGCAGCTGGAAAACAGTCAATGGCATGTTTTTCTGTTGAAAAATATTGATTTATCAAAACCAGATTTTTATGGACAATGGCCAGCTTTGACACTTTTCTTGTTTCAAAAAAGGTGTGGGGGAAAAGAAAACACTTAGAAACAGTCAAAATGTCTCATTTTTATATTTTTTAATTAAAATTTTCAGTTTTTGGTTCAAATTGGCTTTTTGTTTTGAAAATTGTTAATTTTCAATATCAATAATTAAAAAGGTTAAAATCTAAATAAAATGTTTGGATTGACCTGAAATGAATTTTTTTTTGGGAGGAGTGAGGGGGATGGTTTAAGAAAAACAATTGAGAGTTTTACTTTTTTCTGTATTGAGGATGGGAAATTGTTTTGAAATCTTGCAATTTTCCCCAGGATAGGGAAACTTGTTTCCCACTCAGCTTATATCAGTGGATTTGAGAGAAGAATGTGGACTAGTAATTTCTTTGAACTTTTCTGAATATAACTGAGAGGGTAATTTGGCCTAACAACTATAAAGAGTGGAATTCACTTCATGTGAAGAGCTATGCAATGCCCTCTGTGCCACTATAGTACAGCTGGTCAGGGGCACTATTGGCAGAGTAGCTGCCTTGGGAGTCCTCTCACACACTGTATGCCCTAGCCTGGGCCCTCACACCAGCCTACTATAGGTGTTGGCAGAAGATGGTTTTGGGAACAAATCAGGGAACAGGCAGTGGGATCAGCCTTTGTGTGGATCCAGTGATGTTAATCTTGTGCAAGAGATATGGAGGGGTGAAAGCTATTATTCTAGCCCAGATGAATGAATCTAACTGTATGTGGCTGAAATGAATTTCACCAAGTCTTATCATCAGGTGATTCGAGAGCCCTCAAAGCTTGTGAAAGCTGAAGTAGTCTCGGTAAATATTAGATCTGAGAGATGTACACTAGCAAAGCTACCTCATTATTCAAGAGTCATGCATGCCCAACTGACTGTTACTGCTCATTTGCATCAGAAAAAATAGGGGTTTGTGCCCCCTGTTCTCTATACTTGCCAACCCACCTCCCTCTGGGGAAAATAGGGGTTTGTGCCCCCTGTTCTCTACACTTGCCAACCCACCTCCCTCTGGGGGTAGACAACCCCAGCTCTCCCCCTGGCCACCGTGGAGGGCCGGGCCACAGCTGTGCCAGCCCTGGCTCCCTTTCTTTTCTCCTGCCCTGGCTGTGGCCACACCAACCCCGGCTCTCTTTCTCCCCCACTCCCGTCTGCTGAGGCCCAACCCTACCCTCCATCCCCTGGCTGAGGCCATGCCAACCCCAGCTCTGTCTCCAGCAGCCAGGAAAGGCCGAGGCCATAGCACATCAGCCCCAGCTCTGCCCCCGACAGCCAACCCCAGCTCTCTTTCTTCCCCCTGTACCGGCCATGGTCGCACCAGCCCTGGCTCTGTCCCCAGCCTCCGGGGAAGACAGAGGCCGTAGCACCGCAGTCCCAGCTCTCCACGTAGCCACCAGACAGGGCCAGGCTGGCAGTGGGTGGGTCTTCGCTTCAGGGATGGGGCCACTGGCAGAAGGGGCGGGGCTGGGAACTGGACTTATCCGCCCATGCCTACCCCCCCAGCCTGTGGATGCTGTGACATGATGACATTACTCTGTTGTCCTGCAGGAAAAAATGTTTTTATATATATATATAGAGAGAGAGAGAGAGATTACATTGTGCTATGAGAAATCACTGGGGAGGCAAATATTTGTTTTCAAATGGAAAATATGTATGAAGTATAGGCCCGTTTCTACATTCTTTGTACATCCTAGGCCCCCATCAGCTTCCATAGGAGTTTGAGTGTGCATGAGTGGAGTGCAGGGTTGAGCGTAGTGTTGGCTTTGCCTGAATAAAGCTGAGAGTTATCCCAAATACCAAGGAAATACTTTCTACTCTTTTTTGAAGGTGGGTAGGTTAATGCCACTGTATAGATCCATGGTACCCCTACATCTTGAATACTACATGAACTTCACATGGTACCCCCACATCTTGAATACTACATGAACTTCGGGTTGTCTTGTCTCAAAAATGATATATTAGAATTGGAAAATGTGCAGAAAAGGGCAACAAAAATATTTAGGGGTATGAAACAACTTTCATATGAGGAGCGATTAAAAAAAGTAGGACTGTTAAACTTTGAAAAGAGAGCTGACTATGGGGGACTAAGATAGGGCAGCGAAAGTGAATAAGGAAGTGCTATTTACTTCTTAATACAAGAATCAGGGAAAGCCAAATGAAATTAAAAGGCTTCAGGTTTAAAACAAACAAAAGTAAGTTTTTCTTCATGCAGCGCACAGTCAACCTGTGGAACTTGTTGCTTGGGGATTTTGTGAAGGCCAAAAGTATAACTGGATTCAAAAAATAATTAGGTAAGCTTATGAAGGATAGGTCCATGAATGGCTATTAGCCAAGGTGATCAGAGTTGCAACCCACCTGCTCTGGGTGTACTGAAACCTCTGGTTGACAGATACTGGGATTGGATGACAGGGAATGGATCACTTGATAATTGCCTTGTTCTGTGCATTCCCTCTGAAGTATCTGGCCCCAGCTACTGTCAGAAAACAGGATACTGGGCTAGCTGGACCATTGGTCTGACCCAGGACAGTCATCCTTATGGCTCCGGCAGGATGAAGAATCTGCCTCTCTGTTAAGAGCCACTGAAAGCAACATCAAACACGGGTTCGTCTCTCATTTTGATTTTAAATGAGGAAGAAATCCAGCTGCATTTCTAACCCCAAACAGGAGCCAGTCCCAAAGTCTGCAGCACTGTCAGTGGCGCTCAACAGTGAATGACTTCAGTCAATAAAGGTGATTTACTATATCCGCAGAGCACTCAGAAACCAGGGCATTCAGAGAGCAGTTGCTTTGCAGCTTACACACACAAATAGACACATGTATTTTACTCAGAAATATGTGCAGTTCCACCAATGGGTCTAAATGGGAGAATTGCACCAAGTGCATCATTTAATAGTATTGAAGAGATAACACTGAGTTTTCCAGCTCCAAGGAATGCTCCCCTGCTCTCCTGGACAAAGACGCAGACTCTCAGGCTCTCGTTACAGTCTAGTGTTGATCATCTTTTCTGAAGCTGCTTCTTTTAGTAATGTATTTCTGGAAATAAACCCTGCTTTGATTTACATCCTATGTTACCTACCATGCTGTGTTACCGACCCATCCATAGGATGGGGACAGGAAAGAAAGTTCAGTCACTAACCAGTCCTCTTGCATGTCACAACCTCATTACATTGGTCAGCTTGTGAAGTAGAATTGCTGTATGGCGTGCCCCATTTATATCCACATTATAGTCTGGAAATCAGCATCAGAAAGTTAACAGTGTAAAACAAACAAATAAACCAGAAAAAAGGCACGTTTTCCTGCAGTGCAAGTGAAAGGCTAATAGCTGTGTCAGAATGAGAGCAGGCACTGGCTATCTTTCCTTGCTCAGTTAACGCACCTTAACCTTGCTCTTATCCTTGCTATAGCAGCCCTGTACCTTTCCTGGGAAAGCAAAGGGTGTACACTACAGTATCTGGGAATTTCACACAGGAGCTCTGAGCAATCGTACTGCTCACAGTGCAACTCTTCCACCTTTTCTCCCCCACCTGTCCTTCCTGAACAGTTTCTATCCATCCATGACAATGTTCCAGTCATGAGAGTCATCTTGGTTCCTTGGTCCTGCCAGGATAATTAAATGACTGCATACCAAGAACTGTGTTTAGCACTTGAGATTCAGGTCATTCAGGTGTGGCCAAAGGAGCTGCAGCACTGCAGTGCTTGTATGGAAGCCTGACCAGGAGATCTGGATATAGGTCTCTGGAGAGGCACATACAGAAGGTACAGCCCAGAAAGAGGAAGGGAAAAGGCTGTGATACAGTTAAAAGGATAGAATAGAAAGGACCACAAGGGTCAAAGAAGGGGCTGAAAGATGCAAGATTTGTGGTGTCTAAACCAAGACATCCGAGACAGATGGCTATGAACATTATCCCACATTTCCAGCTCCTGGAGTCTAGGCTGCTACAGGGGCCCAAATGCCTCCCAGACTAAGAGCACTCCCAGTGGCACATTCAGTGCTAGAGGGACATCTCTCCCATTTTCAGCCTATACCATACTAGCAAGGTGGGGACACCGCAGGTCTGCTTACATTGGCTCAGATGCTAGAGGAACTGTCCCTTGGTTGCCTGTGGTGCCTATGATGATGCAGTGGAGTGGAGAGTTACCTCCGTGCTATGTATCAACTCAGGTAGAAAGTAGAAGAAACACACAAGATGGTGATCTTTTTATCAAACTATGATCAGAATTCACAGAGTAGCAAAGGAATGGGTAGACTTTGGACCCCAAGTCACAAGTCATAGGTCCTTTTTCAGCTCGCTCTGTGACCTTGAGCAAGTCACTTAACTTTTTTGTGCCTTAATTTACTTTTTTGTGAAATGGTTGGAACACTATTTATCTACCTCACCTGGGTGTTATGAGCCTTACTTCATTATTCTTTGCAAACACCTTTGAGCTGCTCAGTGGCTGGAGCTAGAGATGTACATAGTAAATATTTCAATGAATATTGTTCTAATGAGATTTAACAGAAATTTCCAAGTGTGAATAACTGTGCCAGGGTCACAGTAACTTGAGGACAAATATGCAGATGTTTCACAAATATAACATGCTCATTGCTGATATATATTTGTCTCTGTATCCAGCAGGCTGTGGTGACCAGGAAGAGCTATCACAGGAAGCCATCTGTACAAAGCTAGCCTATCAAAGTGCTGTTTGCAGTTGGGGGGTCTACAGGAAGTCAGCCATACAGGAAGTCAAGTCAGACCAGCTGCATTCTCAAACATGTTTCTGTCCCTAACAGTTTTCTTCTTGACATTGTCCATAAATGACACCAGGGAGGAAGTAAGTTGTCAATTGAAAATCATCACCTATTATTGGCTGTGTAATGCAAAGTACTTTAGTACTGAGACCAATGCATAACAAATTTTGGTTTATTTCTTCTAGAGCTTTGTTGATGGGAAGTCCATTTGAAGTAGAAATAATTACAAAAATAAAATGATGCCCTTTTCCTGGGAAGAGGAATTTTTTTTCCATGCAGAACTTTATGCATTTGTGGTTCAGTTAATTCACAAGAACACAGGGGAAAAAATAGGAGCCGTTTTCTGGGCTAAAAATGACAGGGAAACTGAGACAAGAAGGTTGTATACATAGGGCGGGGTGAAGTCTGCCTAGGACCCTCAGCTGCTCAACACATGGGAAAGCAACACTGAAGAAAACTCCCATCAGGTCCCAATGGAGAGTCCTTGTCCAGTGTTGCCAAAGAAAGTGAACCAATTGCAGGTCTCCTGCTTCAGCATTAACAATGTATTTTCCAGGGCTAAATAATGACTATTCTCTTGCTGCCCTTAATTGTTCCTACTATGGTAGGCAGGAAAATGCTAGGGAATTATGTTGTTGAGAATGAAAATAGATAAATTGTTCATAACTATGGTGAGAACAAAACATATCAGGGAAAATATTCCAACTTGTAAATATTATTCCTAAATTCAGACTACCTGCTATTTAATTGTTGTGGTTTTTGTCCTATAAAAATTTTCAGAAAATCCTCAGAACAAGTGTTAAGAGAAAGACATCTTCATTGAGAATCAAATAAGTTGTTTACCTTTATCTCATATTGATCATAAATCAAGAGGATTGTGTAATCATTTCATCAAAATAGTGTAGCCAAAAGAAATAGAAGAGACATGGCTTTAGCATAGCTAGAGTTTTTCTTTATAACATCTGAAAGTGAACAAATGCAATTCACTCTTCCTACAAAACATGAATTTCTAAGCTGAAAGCATGTCATATCTGCAACACTTTTCTTAGAAAGGAAACAAAGATGTTTTCTCCCCAAAAAGCTCATTTTTGCTATATCTACTGCAGTTGTGTGCATCAGGTTGATGCATACTGAAACAACATATTTCAAGGGAGCACTTCTGTGAATAATAGCAGGGAGAGCAAATACAGATAGGCTACGTCCAGACTGGCATGATTTTCCGCAAATGCTTTTAACCGAAAAGTTTTCCGTTAAAAACATTTGCGGAAAAGAGCGTCTAGATTGGCACGGACGCTTTTCCGCAAAAGCACTTTTTGCGGAAAAGCGTCTGTGCCAATCTAGACGCGCTTTTCTGCAAAAAAGCCCCGATCGCCATTTTCGCGATCGGGGCTTTTTTGCGCAAAACAAATCTCAGCTGTCTACACTAGCCCTTTTGCACAAAAGCTTTGCGCTAAAAGACTTTTGCCCGAATGGGCGCAACATAGTATTTCCGCAAGAAGCACTGATTACAGACAGTAGGAAGTAAGTGTTCTTGCGGAAATTCAAGCGGCCAGTGTATACAGCAGGCAAGTTTTTCCACAAAAGCAGGTGCTTTTGTGGAAAAACTTGCCAGTCTAGACACAGCCATACTGTTTGGTGATCTTTGGTAGGGCACAGGCTGTGTTGCAAAATCTAAGTTCCCTATATAGTAAGTAAGAAGTAAGGAGACTAGGAATGCAGAAAATAAAAAAGGCATTGAAAATATCTCTGATTCTAAAATGGAAAATCCAAACATAGCGATTCCCTAATAAATAGTAACATTAACTATCTTTCTGCCACAGTGTCATACCAAGGTGGCATTAATGACCTACCAGCTTCCTCGCTGCAGAACACCACCACCATCTGAGCAGGAGAAATTGTGAAATAAACTCAATCGGTGCAGAAATGAGGAAGGAAACAAACGTGTTAAATCATTTTATTTTCTAGGCTCACTCTGTTCCTTACAGATAGAGACTTAGAATTGGAGCTGCTTACAGTGCAATGATTTGATTAAAAGAGAAGGGGGGGAGGGGGAGAGAAAGATCTAACAGTGCGATTTCTATCAGTTTCAAAGAATTCCCTGATCCTGCATTTCATTTTGTATGTTGGAATCAGTAACTCTTAAGGGTATTTATCTTTAAATCTGTATGGATCACATACTGACCTCAATGACACTCATGTAACTCTACTGACTTCACATCGCAGTAACATCAAAGTTAGTCCAAATTTACATCCATGTATTTCTGTGCAGTATTTGATACTAAACGAATTAACAAAGTTTGTTTTGAAGCTAGTTGGTACAATGCTAGTTTCCTTTCTTGGGGGCTATACAGCATTTGGTGATAATTTACATTGCATTTCAACCTTACATATTCTATCCATCAAATTTACTTTTTAATGCAGTCCGTAGTTTGAAACATTAATGGGCTAAACTCTGTTCTCAGTAGATAGAACTTCTTGAATGCTATTGAGATCTAGGCACTGTGACCATTACTCCTTTTGCAGCTCCTGAGCAATTTGGGCACCTCTGTACTGGTGCAGAAGGTTAAAGCAGCATTTCTTTTGTATTACCCAGTAATCTTTATGCTTGGTGTTAAAGGTAATGTTCAGGACTGTCACTCACTACATAGGTTGCTGAACAGCCTTCAGAGTAAAATGGCTTTCAGTTACTTTCAGCCTAGAGCAGATATGAATCAGTGATCTATAGGCAAAAGAATTACACACCCATTTGTTTTTCAGTTGCAGAGCACTTCCAGGGTAAAGAGCAATCACCAAATAGGAAATAGAATCACCATCATTTTAAATGAACCACTAAAAATAACCTAGGATTCCTTATTCTAGTCCCCTGTTATACCCACTAGTAAGCACCTCTCCCCCCCTAAATGCAGTCAAAGTCTGCAGTTCTCTTGAGGCTTGGTAAAAAGAAAATTGAGGGGTAGAGGGTGGGAAATGTTTTTTAGACAGCTCTGTTTTTTGGTGTGCTGTTCTTTTTAATATAGAGGAAGACAGGATTCTTAAGGAGAGCATTAGTTGCTCCATACACACACGTGCACAGGGGAGAGAAATTGGATTCTGGCGAGCATGCAGCCATGGGATAATACAAAGGAAAGGCTCCTTTAATCTTCTGCAGCAGTATAGCAGTGCCCAGCCTTGTCAGGAGCTGCAGGAGGAGTGATGGCTTTGTCGTTGACAGTCTTCTAATTGGATGGTAGAGGGGGGCCAGGAGAGAACAGCTATAAAAGATGTGTGTGCACCAACAAGTGTGTCTGACATCAAGAGAGATCTATTGAGAAGTGGGTAGGGAATGTACAGCAGTACTGAAATGCTGAGTGCACTTATAGTATGGCAGAGCTTGAGCTGCATGACCTAGAGAGACTTTGTTAATGCCAAAGATATAAGCAGGTAATGGACAGCCAGAACAAGAGGCTTGACTGGAATCAGTAACAACCAGAACCAGTGCTAACTGACAGTCTGACTGCTCAGTGCGAAAAGGTGCCTTGCAAACAGGACCTGGAGCTTCCAGCCAGATTGGGGGATGGGAACCACACAAGCTACCAGACAGGGCTGGAAATGTGAATCCAATGGCATAGTTCAATTTGTTCTTGGCCTGCTGTATTCCATCAGAGAAATACATCACTGCCCAACAGCCTAAGCCTACACTGCATGGGTTATCAAATGTTTCAGTTTGCAAACAGCCAGGAAGGCCACTATTGGTCCATACACACTCTGCCTTAGCTCCAATGGTAGGGCTGTGAGGGGCTTCTCAGGTAGAACAAGGGAAAACCTTTTACAAACCCAGGAAAGAAGGGTTGGAAACACCAAGGGGGTGATGCATGAATGTTTACTGCAACCTGAGAGAGAACACACTTTCTAGAGTTACTGATCAACCGAGGTTGGTTGAAATATTTGGCTGCTCCAGGTCTTGCCCACATGCTCAGGGTCTAACAGCTTGCCCTATTTGGGGTTGGAAAGGAGTTTTCTCCTGTCTTCGACTGACAGAGACCCCAGAGGCTTTTCACTTTCCTCTGCAGTGTGGGGCATGTGGGTCACTTGCAAGTTTAAACTAGTAGTGGTTTAAACTCTGTGGCTACGTCTAGACTACATCCCTCTGTCAGCAGAGGGATGTAAATGAAGCACTTCGAAAGTGCAAATGAAGCTGGGATTTAAATATCCCACGCTTCATTTGCATAATCACGTAATGGCGCTCTTTCGAAAAAGCGCTATTTCAAAATTAAAACCACAGTCTAAATGCAGTTCTTTCGAAAACAGGGTGCTTTTTCGAAAGATCCAGTAAACCTCAAAAATGAGATTTACTGGATCTTTCAAAAAAGCGCCCCGTTTTCGAAAGAACCGCATCTAGACCGTGGTTTCAATTTTGAAATAGCGCTTTTTCAAAAGAGCGCCATAACGTGATTATGCAAATGAAGCATGGGATATCATTTGCACTTTTGAAGTGCTTCATTTACATCCCTCTGCGGACAGAGGGATGTAGTCTAGACGTAGCCTGCATCTTGAAGTTTTAAAATCACGATTTGAGAACTTTGGTAACTCAGCCAGTGATTAGGGGTCCATTACAGGGTGGGTGAGGTTCTGTGGGCTGCAATGTGCCAGAGGTGAGACTAGACAATCACAATGGTCCTTTCTGGCCTGAAAATCTATATCTGTTAGGGCTAGATTTGGTGCTTTGTTACCATGGAATTTCATGGATGTCACTGAAAGCAGAGTTTAGCCTGGAAGGCTCAGACCCTAATTCATTGCAGAGTGAGGTGTCTGATTGAAAGATGGGCAAGAACCAAAATTCTTGCTGAGATATCTGCGAACATCTCTGGATACAGCTGCTTAACTCACACCAACCCTTAAAGTACCTCTCTCATAACCTCCCCATGCTAACCAGGCTTTCCAATGGTACAACGTCCATTCTGTAAACACCACATTTCAAGAGACCACTTCTGTGGATAATAGCAGAGAGGGCAAATACAGACACTGTTTGGTGTCCACGAATAGGAAGGAAAGTACTTAACAATCCAGCCAGAGATCCTCAAAACCTCCTAGCTCTTCTACATTCGTTTATGCAGCCTTATTTGCTGGCAAAGCAGAGGTGGCCCCTGACAACAGCTGTAGAGGCCATTTTGAGATGAAACAGATGCTGCATAGCAGCAATTAGTGCAGAAAGCAAGGAGGTAGAATAACAAGGAATTGCCAGGAGCTGAATTCTTCTCTTGATTACTTTGTGTGATCCCTGGGAAGTCAATGGGATTGCACTAGTGTAACTGAAAGGAGAATTTAGCCCCTCATTTACAAGACAACCAGAATTATATTATCTAAGGAGTTGTCAAAAGTGATGGGTTCTTTGACAAATACAGCAATTTGATAGGACCATTGTAAATAGCCAGAGGATGTAATAACAGCATGAAAAAAAAAAGTTATATTGCAGCCAGCTTTCAGGCTTCACACTGCCAGGATGCCTATCCGCACTCTTGTGTGAACTGAGAGGAAGCCAGACAATTTATGGCCACAGTATTTAAAGAGACTAATGATCTGGTCAGTGGTGAAGTGCAGTGTTGTGCTGATGTCTACGGTAACTAAAATTTACCCATCCAATTTGCTCCTCTGCACCAGCCACAAAGGGAGATGACTCCAATTATTTTTCCAACAGTACAGAGGCTGGTGTTTACCATTATCTCCTTGGCAACCCCTTTCGCGTGACAACATTATGCAACGTAATTGCAAAGCTGCCTCAGCTCACTGGGGCTGTTATTAAATGCACTCAGCTTTTTTTTCCCAAGGTCAAGGATAATAATTAGGTGCCTGGAATGCCTGCAACACAACCTCGTTATGTCCAAATAATAACTCAAAGGATGCATCAGACATTCCCTGGAGAGGAGATTTCTGTCCTGCTAAGAAGTGTTAGGAGATCAGTTGAAAGCAGGCTTGTGGAATAATGTGTGTGGATCAGGATAAAGGCCTGCAGTGCAGTGACCAGAAGATAAAGCTGCAATCAGGAGGGCACATAACAAGGGGTTAGATGGGTACTGGGTGAATATATATAGGGACAATGGAGGGAGCATGACTTGAGAGATTAAGGAACAGTGCAAATGCCAGAGTCTGAACTTTGTGCTACTGTTTGTATTACAGCTGGCTTTGGTGGTCTAGGCATTGCATGGCAGGGCACTCCCCAGTGCTATTCTTCAGACACCCCTCTATAATAATAGTTAGCACTTATTTACCGCTTTTCATTAGTAGATCTCAAAGACCTTCACAAAGGAAGGTAATACCTCCCCTCCCTCCACTGTACAGGTGGGGAAATGGAGACACAGAGGGAGCCGGTAGTCTAGTAGCATCGTCAGGAATAGAGCGCAGGTTTTCTACCCACTATGTTTCATTCACTAGGTCACCCAGCCACTCCATGGCACCAGCTGACTATGTAGATCTGGTGGCAATGCAATCTATTTGCAGGTCTGTATTATGGCACCCATCACCACAGTATTTAAATGCTCACAAGTAATTAAAACTAGGAATGGAAACACTGTGTGAGGTGATAAAAAGATCAATATAAGTCCTAGGTGACATTAGAGATGTGATCAGGTGATGCCAGGGTTAACACATCTTAAGGCTATGTCTAGACTGCAGGCTTCTTTTGGAAGAAGCTTTTCCAGAAGAGATCTTACGAAAAAACTTCTTCCAAAGAGAGCGTCCACACAGTGAAAGCGCATCGAAAAAGCAATCTGCTTTTTCGACAGATAGCGTCCACACTGAATGGACGCTATCTCACATGTAAGCTGTGATTACTATGGGCAGAATAGCCACCAGGACACCTGTGCTTTTTCCTCTTTCCTCTTCTTGTGAAAGAATTCCCTCTTCCCCATTCACACATGCCTTTTTCCAAAAGAGCTCTTTCAGA